CGTCCAACAATTACTGCCTCACACCTTATCGCTTGATAACGAGAGGGTACCAATCTAGCGTGGAAGCCAGCGTTACCGCTTCCTTTAAGGCGCGTCATGCTGTCGAGAGCGTTCTCGCACAGTAGAGTGCGATGTTTGGATCGCTCTATTGCTAGAAGGCGAAGGCAGTTTGGTGCGGTGCACTTCTCAAAATATATGGAGCTTTCTGACGGCGAAACGATAGGGAATTTAATGAGCGCACACTGGAACTGCAGATCCCCAAAGGGTTTCAACATCATCTGGAGCGAAAAAGGTAAATTTAGGATAATTGGGAACCACAGCGCATGTGTGGCGTCCCGCGGAAGAAGTTTCGATCTAAATTATAGCTGTTATCCGTGAAACGAGACAGTTGCCGTCAAGTCAGTCCGTAAAGGTGATGACATTGCTGACTTATAAAAAAGCTGACCTATAGAGTTAGGCTCCAGAAAGTATAGCGTATTCAACCGTAATGCAACTGCATCGGACTGACATCGAGCAATAGCGATCCAAACCTGGAGACCGGGAAAAAGGTGAAGTGAGTCCGTCAACGGAAGGGATGTCAACTGCTATTGGTGGGTGGGACGTGCACCAACGTGGGCGAAATTTGTCCCAAACTTATAACTCCGTTCCTAGAAGTTCAGGAAACCGGGAAACCAGTGGGTATATCGGTGGGTGGGACGTGCACCAACGTGGGCGGAATTTGTTCTAAACTTATAATTCAGTCCCTAGAAGTCCTTGAAACCGGGAAACCAATGGCAGTTGACCTTCCTTCCGTTAACAGACTCACTTCACCTTTTCCCGGTCTCCAGGTTTTCTTAATAACCGAGTTATGAATTTTTGTCACAAACTCTGCCCACTTTATCACAAACTCTGCTCACCCAAAGCCTACAGAGCAGAAAACTCAACTTGTTTTCTGCTCTGTAGGCTTTCTCCCAACCAAGTTATCAATATTTTTGTAAAGCACTGCTTTTTTGGAGAACGCCCCGCCCACCGGGGGTGGGTCTCCTAATTCGATCTGACTTACCAATGCACACCTTTACCACTTTTTCCCCAGTTTCGAGGCTGTTTTGTATGAAATTGAAATCCTGGTCGTCAGTACCACTCATTTCGATGCACGCCACGCCCACTGTGGGCGGGGCTCCGCTTAGCTGATGTGTGTTTTGTACTTCGCGAGACCTTGCCCACCCATCCCACACTTGACCCGGTCTCCAGGCCGATCCCCAGAAGCTAGGGAATTTCGTGACAGACATACAGAACGACAGACGAAACGCTTTATAGTAAGTAGGATCCTTTATCATTATTGGTTGATATGCAGCTGAGCGGAGTGGCAAGAAGCGGCGTTTCCACACGCACGGCCAGGGGATCGAGTAATCGACCGCACGCCGTCCAGTCTAACCAGCCTTCTATCACTGCGAGTTCAGTAGATTAGCTCTGGAGTTGTCGAGGAAAATAAATTCGATGACTTGAATACCATTGAGCTCGAGAGAGAGAGATGCGGAGGCCGCCAAGGGCTGGAAAGACGATCGCCAATGGGAGAAAAAGGTGAAAAACAAAGTTTCGTGTGCAACCTGTGTTGTACACCATTCGATAGTATTTTTCATGGGAAATCGAATGGTGCACATTTCAGGTTCCAAGTCCTTCTGGACAAGCAAAAAACTGATCATATCACAAGGACATGACGAGCAGTGATGTTTGGGGCCACACCACGGAAGGAACGCTCACCTGCGACCAAATATTTTACCTAATTCCTACAGAGAAGTAACCGTAGTCTACCGGTGGAGAGATTTCCTCGCTATCTTCTCAGGTTTCCACAAAACATCTCCTCTAAAAGTGGGGAATGTCACATAATGGGCCTACCACTACTGCAATCCTAGATGAAGCTCTTTCGAAAATTGAAATATAGCATCTTGTAAGATCTCGAGCAGAGCTATCAGCTGGTATAACTTCAAATCGCGCGAACCATTTCTTCAAGAGTTATGGCGAGGCGACGGTTTTTAACCGTCGCAAACCGTCGATTGAACAAAAATTGTATCAGTATTGTACGTATGCGTTGCGAGCGTTAGTTCTTGAATTCGCTTTGATGCCGCTCACTCCTGCAATGGTTGCACTAGAAAGTGAGTATATTGGGTTTTCATGCGAAATGTTTATGAGACTCTCCCTCAACGTGCCATTCTACCCCTGTTTACAGTTTTTTTTTAGCAAATTTAAGGGTTTAACTTGCTTGGTGTATAGAAGAAACGAGCGACTAGAAAGGTCTACGAATAAATTGTCTGGAACGGTCCAATTTCCTTGAGAGCAGCAGTTTTGGCAAGATTAGACTCCCTAAACGTGCTGAAGGTAATGAGCATAATTTTGAAAAAGTGCAAGAGATTCGTGCCATCAAGGACCCGAACTCTTTACCTACAGCCGCGAAAGCGGCATAGTATCCACAAAGCCATCGTTTCACATCCAGCGTCGCACTGACTTTGGGTCTGCTTCGTGCCATAACAAGTTCCGTAACATTGTTCTGAGAATTGCTCAGCAGATGTGGAGTACAGTATTTCAATTGGCCACCTCGATCTACCGTTTTCCCTTGTAATTTTATACCCATCTAAGCGATGTTTATCATGCACCATGGTTCAAATCTCAATCCTACTGGGAACTCGCATTGAAATTTTTCTGCACCCACCGCTGCAATGCAAATCAGGATTGAACTGATGTGGTAATTCTCACTCAAATGTGAAAGTAGGGATGGGAGGTGGACTGCCAGTGAAGAAAAAAGGAAAGAAAATCGTGAAATACACAGGAAATACGAGCCTTTTGCTCAACGCTGTGAAGAAGTCTGGAGATGAGAGGTGTTGTGATTCTCGGAGAGGGTTAGAGAAGTCCGAATAAAAAGAGCATAAAATTATAGATCAACATTGCGACGCGGTAAGATATCGCCCTTGGGCGGGACCCGAGATAGGAGAAAATGGGAAAGTGAAAGAGATCAGTTTGAACTGCTTGTGCTACTGGTGCCTTTTACCACTACAAAGGCTTCAGCTGATTTGAGTGGATCTGAATAACTGAGTATAGCAATATCTACAACAAAAACCTTTAGAAAACCACATACAATTGCTAAGCGCATATTTTCAATTCATTAGATGCCAATGCCCCTATATGATAAACAAGTGCGTTTTGCCCTACATGTGGGCCGTCTAGATCAGTCTGGCTTTGCTAATGAGTTACAGTCAGCACCACTTTTTGTCACATGTACTTTCCATTTGAATGGTAATTTTATTCTAAGTATCAGCTTTTGCAGGAAGCACATACCGAGTTTGGTAGCCAAGAAGGTAACAATCCGTTTCTCTACATTGTGCTGCCGAAGCATCTGAGAAATTCAAAAGTGCACGAGCAGTTGCTGAAAAACAGTCAACAACTCATCACTGCCCATGATCTACACTCAACCTTAAAAGACATCCTCTATGTGAGGCTTTCAAACACTTTCTTGTAATTTTTCACCTAGTTAACAAGGCTTACATGATCGCTGGCTCGGTTTCCTGTGAGTCACTCTAAAGCAGCGCTAACGTAGGCGGTCTCATTCTTCTCACATTCATGTGTGGGTTTTGAGGGTTTCGCTGGCAGATCTTCGTTCTCAAATATGCAGTCGCATTACACATTTCGACGTGGCTTTCCCTCTGCAGTTCAACGAAAACACTGGACTGACTAAATTAGTGTGACCAAATATCCATTTTTAGCACTGAAAAATTATCATTCTCAAAAAGTAGTCCACTTCCAAAAATTTTTTCATTCGAACTTCGACCTTATATGGCCTTCTTTGTGTGGATGGTTACTCAGAACTAGCCCTCTCTGTAAGGTTTGTCTTACAATAAGAGCTTCCTATGCATCAATGCCTCCTGCTCATCCCACATAACTGATGTTACAGTACACAATATTATTAAGCCGAGGGAATCCTTTTTAACTAACGTTTTTTTAGTTCTTAGACTCTCGCTATTTTCCACTAGTACCTCTCATGTTCACTAGTATACAGCAATTTACCAATCCTGTTACATTTTGATTCATTGAAGCTGCTGCGAACAGAGGGAAGGACAGAGGGTAATTCGTTTACCATTGTGTTTGAGGGCTCGATATACAGATCAGGGACGGTAGTGAAACGCCCTAGGCTAGGAGTTAATCTCGGTGACCTTTTCCCATTGAAGACAGATAGAAACGTGGAAACCATGGACATGATTCTCAAAATGGAAAACCCCAAGTGTGGGAAAGTGCCGCCTGTAAAAACAGAAACACATAACAACACAAAGTTTCAAATTGAAAAAAACTACTTGTTTCAACTTCTCTATGTTCAGTGTTGGGAAAAAAATCGCTCTCTCTATCTTGTAAAAACATACCTTCACACATGTTTCCCTGCTCTACTTCTACATTCTTGCCTAATCATTTTGTGATTCATTCCAATATTGGCACGTGAAATACAAA